TACGTCATAACATCTATCTGCATGCCAAATTACAACCCGATCGGTTTAAAACTGACAAAGTCTCATACAAACTTTCATCCCCTTTTTTACCCCCTTGGGGGTGGAAATTATCAAAATCCTTTCTTAGCGAATGCCTACGTCATAACATCTATCTGTTTGCCAAATTTTAGCCCAATCTGTCCAGCGGTTTGGGCTGTGCGTTGATAGATCACTATGTCAGTCAGTCAATCAGTCAGTCAGTCAATCACCTTTGAATTTTATATATATAGATTAATAGATTAATTAATTGTTAATCTTTAATTGTTCTTGCAATTACAATTTGCCCAACACTGCTTATGGTCACACACTTAGACGTGTTAAAATGCAGGAGATTACATTGACTCCAAGCAACTACTCGGTCTATATCACTTTGCAGCTTTTCACAGTCATTTACGTTTGTGATGAGGAGGTAAAGCTTGAGGTCGTCAGCAAACAGTAAGCACTTAGTATCCTGAACAACGTTCGGCAAGTCATTAACCATTAGTAGAAACTCTAGGGGCCCTAGATTTGTTCCTTGACTTACTCCCGACCTAGTGTAGTAAGTGTTCGATTGATGCCCTGCGTAGTCAACATACTGCTGCCTGCCACTCATATAACTCGCAATAAACTTAAGCGAGTGTGGAGTGAAACCGACCGCAGCTAATTGTTTAAGTAAGATGTCGTTATCAACCAAATCGAACGCTTGTTTAAATCAAAATATGCAGCATCGATTTGCCCCCCACTGTCCACTGTTGGTACCACATCTGCCATGTAACAAAGTAGGTTGCTGGTTGTATTTCTGGTTGGCCGAAAACCATGCTGCGCATCTGTGAGTTGCACGCTAACTTGCCGATAAACATTCGCATAAATACTTGACTCCAACACTTTAGCCATAGTAGACAATATTGCAACCGGTCTGTATTCTTCAACTTTAGTTCCAGAACCTCCCTTCGGCACCGGTATGACTCGGGTAATCTTCCACATTTCCGGAAACTCTGATGTTTTGAGGCAAAGATTGTAGATATACAGCAGCGGTCTCGCTAATGCCATACAACAGTCTCTGAAAATTATACATAACTAGGTGTAGATAACTCCAACGTGGTAAAATAATTTAAAGCAGTCGAGTACAATTAATAGCGTGTAATCTGAACAATGACAAAAACAGATTGATGAGAGGTTACGGAATACAATAATATTAACTACAAATACGCCTAACGTGCGCTCGTTCGTCATTAGCCAGTCGAGTGTAATTGCCTTTATAAAGCAGTAGGCGCTTCGACACTAGGTAACAGACAATAAGTAAATATACATACGGACAATGGGGGGCCTACCACACAATGATGGTTTCTTTCAGGCAAGCTTTGGATGGATATGGGGTAGTTGAGGTATTTGTTAACATTATAAACATGGGGACTGTATCGGGTTGCTGAGGATTCCTCTTCCGCTTCCTCATAATGCGGAAGTTCCTCAATCGTTACCGCATCCTAAAAAATAAAAATAAAAAAGCCTCTTCCGGTATCGCTTCCCCAAAAATAAGAGGAATTCACTACCTTCAGAACCAAAGAATGGCGAAGAAAGTTTACCAGTAGAAGATACATTGATGCGTGGTACTACAATTCCTATTGGATAACTACATTAAATAAAAACGAATCAATATGCAGGAAGATAATATTCAATAGTGGAAAAAAAATATGTCGCGGAGAACCTAACCGGGTTACCGGGGCTCCGGCTCGAAGAGCAGGAGTAGAAACGGGGTGGTTTTTAATCAGTAAGAGTCGAATCTCCCTCTCGCCTAATCCAAGGCGGGAGAAGTCATTGGATGATTTTCCCCCTTAAAATAAAACGCCGGCAACTGCCACATATTATGTCGCGACTCAAACATCCCCACAGTGAGTGCAATGTGGCAATATGTTAGTAATGTAGGCAGGCAGGTCAATTATATTAACTCCCTTGTACTATTCTCACAAACATACGCTCACCTGTGTGGGTAACCGTATAGCCAAGTATAAAGGGAACTCCTTTGAAGGAGCTAACGTAGTTACATCTGCGACACACACACATACACAGGTTGCGGAATAAGGTCAGCGCCTGACCTCGTCGTGTTAGCAACAGTTTATTGAGCACCGCTACACCTTGCTCTGATGTTTTAAACAGGCGTTTCAATAATTTATTAAATTTAATCTACTGTAGGTTGACTTGGAATTTCTATAGGAATTCAGCTCTCAATTAAATAATTATATTTGTATAATGTGACTCATTTGGTTAAAAATAAACAAATTGCAAGCATCTTTAATTTGTTCTAGTGTCATTTCCTAGATGGCGTTGTGAATTTGTATTTGATTGCACAGATTCTTTCATGAAGGTTAGTCCCAAAAAAATGTCTAAAGAACTAAAAGAACCATCAGGGTGTTACAACTGAAGCCAGTATTAGTCCAGTCCAGTGTTCCATCAAATTCATTGCAGTTTTGACAACTAAATTTATTTATTTAGTACTTATTCTGTATTTTTCCTTTGAACTGATGCAGATGTATCGGTCGGAGCGCTGGCCGGAGGAGGAGTCCCTGTCGCGGCGCTCCTCCCGGCGCAGCAGTGGAGGCAGCACTGCAGGCGGCACCGGGCGGCGCGCCAGTCTGTCGCCACCCGCCGCCGCCACGCCGCGCCGCAACAAGCCGCAACACCTCGACTTCCTCGTCACCGGGAAACAGATACTCAAGAAGTAAGTACCAGCAGACGGACCACCTGATGGTAAGCAATCAGCGCCGCCCGCAACTCTAGAGGGGACAATAACTCGCTATCATAATATCATTCCTAGACTCACAGGTCACCTTTTAAGTTATGGGCCTTTATTATGAACATAACCGATGAACAGTACCTGCAGTGTTACATGGTAACGATGTTCCCCAGGAGTGACCGCGCGAGCTCCCTCCCGGGCGCGTACCACCGCCGCCTGTCGTCGGAGGGCAGCAAGCCGCGCAAGCTGACCGACTCCCCCCGCCGCGCGCCCCGCCCCCCGCCCGCGCCCTCCAATACTAGGGACACTTCACTCGAGGACCATCTCTCATTGGATCTGTCGCAGGTCAGTATCAATGGTTGCTTCTGTATTTGGGGCAAGTGTGGACCTCTCGTCGAATAGGGAATTATCGTATGTAGTGGCACATCATCGGATGTGCAATATTCGACAGCTCCAGTGGTTGGACAAGCAGACCTTTTCAATCATTGATCAGCCTATAAGTGTCCACTGCTGACCAAAGGCTTCTCACACGAAGAAGGTTTGTGCATTAACCACCACGCTAGCTCAATGCGGGTTGGCGATTACAAATTGCCCAGGTTTCTTTACGATGTATTCCTTCATCGGTTATCAGTGGTGTCTGAATAATCTTTGAAAGTACATATAACTCGGAAAAAGTCACATTGGTACTTGCCGTTGGTAGGCTTCGAAACTGCACCTTCGTAAGTACGAAGTTCTCAAGTTGGTCTCAAGTGAGAAGCAGGCGTTTTAAACCTCCGAGCAACTACGACACTGCTAGCAGAAGATGGCGCAAATTTAGTGACCAGCATCACAGCAAGTGGAGGGATGGAAACTCCCACCAGACGTTGTTGTAATCATGGTCCAGACGAGGCAGCGGTCAGGTCGCGCGTCTTGTCTTGAGTGGAAACACCAGGAGCTTCATACACCTCCACTCACTTCGCATTCAGCAGCCTGTTTGTGACTAAGTTGTTTTACAGTCAGTAGACTGTAAAACAACTTAGTCACAGATATTGTTCGACTTTGACTGAACAACTTCGATCTGTTCGGGGCATCATCAGTGCAGTTACTTGGAGAGTACACTTCCGACCATTGCACTCTCTGGCGATGAGACTCTGAATGTGAATGTTCATTGATTTCTGTGATTGTAGATCCAGGCGCTGGCGACGTCGACCCCGCGCCCCCCGCGCCCCCAGGCCCGCAGCGCGTCCGTGCAGAGCGCACCACACCGCATGCGCCGCGCCCCCGCCCCCGCCCCTGCGCCCCTTGAGGTGGATTATTCCTCCGTGTCCCCCGAGTACTCCGGCCAGTCCTCCGCCGAGCTCTCGCCCTCGCGCGGCTCACGGGACCAACTCGTCTCCAGGTATACCACTTACCTAACTACGTAGAGGTACATTGTATACTGAATATAACGACTGTTTTCAATGAATTTACTGATTGTTGCTCGCCTCGCTGTCATTCCAGTTGCTGCGTGAGCACGTGGCCGGAGTGCAGCGAGACTGACACGGCCGTGGAGAGCGGCGGGGGCGCGGGGAGCGCGGGGGCGGGGGCGCGCGCGCCCTGCGACGGCGAGTGGTGCTCGTTCTGGGCGAACTACAACAACTCGATGCCGCACGTGCCGGTACAGAGCTACTACGACCAATGTCCCACGCCGTACCGGACCGACACCCTCGACCTGGCTGACTTCACGGAGCCCAGCCTGCCGGCCGAACTCGACAGTCCGCGCCGCGCCCCCGACCGCGACCTGCTCGGCGACATCATCCGCCAGCACGGCCTCACGCTGTCGCCGCGCGACACGCAGAGCGTCATCAAGTGCGCGCACCTGCTGGGCACAGTGCTCGCGCGCGCCATCGAGCGACAAGCGCGCAACAAGCGCAAGCACGACATGCGCCTCGACCTGCAGGACACCGCGCCCCCCGCGCCCCCCAGCGCCTCCGCCACCACGCAGACCGACATATCACTGCCCAACACTCGCAGCGCGCCGCGCATCTTCGAGAACATCCTGCGCCAACTGTCGCGGAGCTCACTCGACGTCGACAAGGACAAAGACAAGGTGACTACTGTCCGCTAGCGCTGATACAAATATTGACATGTGAGTTACAACTGTAATGTCGTGATGTTCCCCGCAGGGCGAGGCCAGGCCGGACGCGGGCGCAGACACGAGCGCGCAGCAAGCGAGCGGCGACCCGCCGGGCGACCAGTGACACACTACTCGTGCACTAGTGTGCTGTGTGTGGACTATGTGGATAACTTGGATGTGTATGTGTGTGTGATGTACTTGTGCTGACTTAAATATATTATTGTTCGAACTGTGACTCGTGTGTTCATTGCCCCGCGTGTACACACACATACACACATACAGCCCGCCGCCGCCGCGAGTACACGAGCGCCCGTGAGTTATTACCGATTATGGCGCCCTGTTCTTAGGTGGGTGGAAAGTCATCAAATGACTGACTAAAAACCACCCTGTTTCAACATTTGCTTAAAACTGTTTCTACACCTCACGTGGTCCGCCCGCTCCGTAGCTACAGCATAACTGCTTCGCAGAAGGAGGAGGCAAATTCTCAGTTCACGACCGCATCATGGTATGACTGAACTAGTACTGGGCGCAAAACTGCGTCAGTACTAAACAGTATAGTGTAGTGACAGACGACAAAGACGTAGTAGAAGACAAAGTGCCAGTGTCCGAAGAGGGTTTAAGGAACAGAGAGTATAGTTCCCTAAGATCGGAAAAGGAGGATCCTCCGACCAGGCGAGGTGACCGTGTCTGGCGGACTTTCTGCCCGACAGTTGGTCGTTGGGATTCGGATGTAAACTGTATATGTGCCATGTAGGATATTGTGACGTCATCAGTTGATAACTTTACATCCATGTGCGTGAGCTGTCATCATGACATGTGTCGCCACAAGGGCATTGCTTCAAGAATTGCCAAATACCTAATTACCTTCGCCGCGTTGTGACCTGGTGGTCCTGTACCTGCTCATGGGAACTGACTCGAAGAAATGAACTTAAAATCTTCGGTTTATTGCCTTTGTCTGCTTTACTGGCGTGAAATGTGCAAAGTCATCAAGGAATCTGATGTCAACTACAAGTTCTCAAACGTGCCTTGTAACCCCGATCGGCAAAGGCGGCCCTCAAGTCAGCCATTTAGGGGTAGAAACTAATTAAGGGGTAGAACCCTCGGCTTATAACCTTTTAACACTACTATCCATATATATCTATGACATATGCAAGTTTGTATTCAAAAATAAAGATAATTTCACGAAAGTAAAAGACACCCATAATGTAAATACCCGACATAAAAACAGACTGTACCTACCACCATCTAGAATTAAAATGCTTTACCAAAGTCCTTAGGTACTACATGGCTGTTATATATATCAAAATATTCAATATATTACCTAAAGACCTACAAAACGTAACCAAAGAAATTATATTTGAGAGAAAATTAAAAAAGTTCCTAATACAAAAATGTCTTTACTCGACAAAAGAATTCTTCGAAGAAAAATATAACACCAAAATTAAATGTTAAAACCTACCCCATACATACATACATACATCCATACACCCCTCACACCCACAAGCACACACCAACTAAATACTATACAATGGAAGCGTTTTACCTACCAATAAAACGCATATTAATTTACAACTTACCTTATTCGAAGCTTATTTAATTGAGATAGGCCTTCATCTCTTTCTACTACGTCACTTCCATTTGGCAGTGGTGGGGAGGCTTGCTAAGAGAGACTCGCCATTTTTATTTCATTGAGTCTCATTACCAGGCAGAGCTTGACTATAAGCTTCGAATAAGGTAAGTAAATTAATATGCGTTTTATTGGTAGGTAAAACGCTTCCATTAATTTGACTTGACCGTTATTCGAAGCTTATTTAATTGAGACGTGTTTGTTATCGCCTGGTGGAAGTGACAGACGCCAATGTGAGGTAGTATGACTGCGTTGACCGCAGTCGTACTACCTGGTATGATGTGGTAAAATCACAGAATAGAAAAACTAAGAAAAATAGCAAATATCTAAAAACATATACATGTTTTGATGAAAGGTATTGAATAGAAAACCTGTTATTTTTAATTTTTTCAATAATAATTGTATTTGATCTGAACAAAAACAGATGTTATATATTTCTGAGGTATTTTATTGCCTCGTTTCTAATTTTCTAATCGTCTGTATTGAATAAAAAGGTGACATACAAAGGCACACACATCTTAGAAAGGATCGCCTCAAAAGGATAACTATCCACTAAATTTTTTCAGATCACAGCTGATCTGAAACCCTCAGGATATCTTGGGGGATTACTGATATCTTAATATCGGTTACCACCAAGAAGGAACTTTATCCTGACCGCAATTAGATTTTTCTATGTCGGTTTAAGAAATTTGCATTATTTTCAAAATTGACACATAACATCACAGCTTACGCCATTAAGTTATGCCTCTTATGGTATGCTTAGTCCATTGGACTGGATCTGAGCTTTAGAAATTTGGTATACAGGCTGGGTATGGGCCGACTTCGGTGATATATCCCGATTAAATGCTCCCATGGTAGAAATACACGGGCAAAGTCGTGCGTGAAAGCTAATTTATTATTATCCATTTAATCAACAGAATCAGTTTTTGATCTAAAAGCCGACCGAAAAACTAGTACGTCTACGTCATTATGATTATGGTAATTATTAGTATCAATATCGAGGAAAGTTAGGTCATGGAATCTTTTCCTGGAGTATAGGAGAAATGGAACAGCTGTTTGTCTCTGCACTTGAAAGACTATTAATAAGTTTACTGTCTAAGAATCTAGCTAGATCGTTTATGACCCAAACAGGGGGATTGACATGATCAATCACCATTTACAACATGTTTTACACAGTCAGTTAATCTCAAATATAAGTACCTAACTGATGTGTTAGTTCATAAGTTAAATTAATGTTACTGATTGTATAGTTTTTAACAATACATGCTAAACGACATATGGTTCTGGTTAACAAAGGACAGCAACCACAGATTTTTGTGACAAATTTTAATTGTACGACAAATTATTGATTCAATAGAGATCCGATATAGATAAAAATGTAGTCAAAAGTCTTGCTATAGGAGCTGAGGGTCCCCCCCCCCTCCGGTGCGGTGCAACCTTTTGAGGACTGCACTATAGATTTAACGTATTGACGGACGCCATGATTTCTTAAGAGATTTCAATTGTGTAGAATATAATTTTAATAGTATTCCAGACATCTTACGTTTCCACACTTCCAAGGTCGTGTCGTAGACGCTCGGTGGTGGCCGCCTTGTTCTTAATTAGGACTTTGTCTAGGTGATAAAGCGCAAAGAAGCGGGGTACTATGACAAGCGAGACACGCCAAAAAACTCGCCCTCATTAAGGAACTACTAGTAGGCACGTTCTGTGTGCTTGATTGAAATAATCCAGGACCTAAGAAAACAAAAAGCTTGGAGAGAACTCCCCCGCTGGGTTTAAAACATTTCCATATGTGGAAAAAACGCGTCGCCAAACAGGGTTTGTCCGTAGTTTTGATATAAAGGCACGTAAATGTCACTACATGTACTCGGTATGACGCAAATAAGTTGATCAGTGGAACTTCGAATATGGAGACCAATTGGTTTGAGCATTCTGCTGACAGCTGGTGCTCTCTAAAGTTTCACAAACCTCAACAGATGATCTGCCTTGACATTGTACATATATACCTGGTACATGAAATACGTGTATGTTAACGCATATGAACGTATAATGGGAAACGGAGGTTTAAATCCAGAAGTGGAGCCACTTGGTCCCCCCCCCTTCGTAACGGATATATGCGATAGACTTGATGTCGTCCTATATCAAACCAGTCTATTTCATGATTGGCTACTATGACGATCTTTCTCGTGCTCTGACTAGAGACCCAGGAGAAAGAGATTGCCCAGGTAAGCTCCCTTAGCAAGCATTGTGCAAGTTGCTAGGAATGAGAAGGTAGAAGTAGCATGTGTAGGACCGACCGAAGATGATAATTCTGGCTCCTCCCACACAAGATTGTTCACATGAGGTAAAATGAAGACCCATCTGCGATCGCCCTTTAAGATTTTATTCTTGTAGGTTCAGAAACGCTTGAAAGTAGAGTCTTTTTCTTGACTAGAGTCTTGAAACTGCAGAAGCAGCAAATATAACTAGGCTCTGG